TATCCTCAAAGAGTAGGAATGGCCTCCTTTCTAGTCACATAAGCCCTTGTTCAATTTTCTGTATGAGGCTTTCTTGATATCATTTGGTTTAGATTAAAATCTTTGGGAAAGGAGAAGAAGAAGATTCTATTTGCTTTAAAAGCTCACCAACTTTATAAGCAACCTAGTACCTCTTAACGTATATGTGGGTCTTGAAAATATCTGCAAAAGTAATTCTTTAAAATATACTTTTTAGTTGTAGTTGGACACAATACCTTTATTTTTTAAATTTATTTTTATATAGTGCTGAGGATTGAACCCAGTGCCTCACACGTGCTAGGTGAGCTCTGTACCACAGAGCCACACCCCCAGCCCTCTGTTAAAAGTATTTTTAAGAGAATTTACTTTTCTGTTGCAGGTAAGATTTGAGATGGTTTATGGTGGTATTTTGCAAATTAAAAGCCCATAGGCCAAATCTGCATCCCACCACCTTTTTTTTTGCGGGGGGGAGGGTTGCTGGGAATTGAACTCTGGGGCACTCAACCACTGAGCCACATCCTCAGCCTTTCTTTTGCATTTTATTTAGAGACAGAGTTGCTTAGCACCTTGCTGTTATTGAAGCTGGCTTTGAACTTTCCATCCTCCTGCCTCAGCCTCCTGCGCCCCTAGGATAACAGGTGTGTACTATCACAAGTGGCCTGCCACCTGTTTTAATATGGCTCACAAGCTAAGAATAGTTTCTACATTTTTTAAGTAACTTGAAAAAAAAACCAGAAGAAGAATATTTTGTAACACATGAACATAATTTGATGTGGAGTACTTGAAGAACACAGATGCTCACTCATTTCCGTGTTATCTGTGGCTGCTTGGGTACAACAACAAAGTTTACTCTATAGCCCATCATCCTAAACTATCCATTCTCTCACCCACTGCAGGAAAAGTTGGGCCACCCTTGATTTAGAGGGTTGGGGAAAATATCAGCAGTGAGGTACATGAAGATCCCATAGTTGTTATTTGCAGGCCAATTTGAGAGTGGTCCTTTGATTTGGTTTCTTTGCTTAAAA